TTTGAAATATATTATTAGAATTGGTTTTATGAAAATATATTTCACACTGATGGATCTGGAATATATTTTTGAAAAGTTCAACCCGAAAAATCAATTTCCAAAAATGTATTTCATATTCATCTTTATGGAAAATCTGGTAAAATATTTTCAATTTTCACTTTGAAATGTGTTTCCAAGCAAAAATCTTGTTTTTGAGATATTATATATGGTAAAAAGATCCATATAAATCAAAAAAGTTCAAGATTCTTTTATATTTCTTGAAATTTTTAGAATAATAGGAAAAGAGGGAATAAAAATGCATTAGGGTTTAAAAGTAGATATGTTAAAAAAAATTAGCATTTATGATGATAAGATAAATATAAGAGTAAAATAGGATCTATTTTAGATATGGGGTTCAGGTGGTATAGAAGAAACTGTGTTTTCCCAAGTACTACGATCCAACGAAGGTCCATTCCATAAAGGCTACCCTTAAAGCCCAGCATGAACATTGTTGGACACAGACGCATACCCAATCATATTCGGAATGTATTCTCTACGAAAGACCATGTGTTATTGATTTCGATATTGATAGAGCCAACGAATATGAATAGGTCCCAAGAGACTAATAATTATTTTTTTATCTAATGATTAACACTTAAAAGTTGTGTAAATTTCAGAAACTAAGTCAATAACTAAATCTATAAGTCTTTTTAGTTGGTACAATTTATTTTGAGTGGATCAATACTATTTGACCAAATTCACAAATATGTATTTATATTTCGAGCTCAATAATAAATATATTTTATTTAAATAATTGGATAACCTTTTGCGCTCACTTTTAACAACAATTATCCATAATATGTTTTTCTAACATAAAAAGAAAACCTTATCAAAACATCTAAAACACAAAAAACAAAATCTTTATTTTGGTGCAAAAGTAAAAATAAAACACTGAAGGAAAAAATAATTAAATATTTTGTTTAGATTCCAAAATGGATTGGAGTGAAAATTTAAAAAATGAAATAAATATATATCGAAAATTAACGTTATTTTTATTAAAATAAAAAATAATAAAAATAAGTAAAAATTGAAATAAAATTTTTAAATATATTTTTATTTAATTATTCATAATTTTGATATAATAATTATTATAATATTAAATAAAAATATTTAAATATAATTAATTATATTTTTTAAATATAATATTATGTGAATTATGTTTCATTCTCTTGTGTGTCAAACAATAAATATGTTTTCTTTTATCCATTATTTATGCTTAAAATTTATAAATTCTTTTTAAATCTATTTTCTCATCGTATATTTAACGTCTTTAACTTTATTGTTGTTCTGATAGGTTCAGAGGTTACTAGACAAATAATTATAAATTTTGAATGAATGTGAATTATTTTTCTCATAAGAAAATAAAAAATTAATATAAAAATTAATTATTTAAAAAATATTTTTAGAACAATTTGATTTCTCCTCGAAAATGCATCACTGCATTATTAAGTTTATCTATTTTTTTTATTGTATTTCTTAGTGTGTTTTACTGTGTAGTATAGGAAAAAAAATATTCCTATTGGGTAAGTAATTTTGTAGGACCAAGAGTTAATTTTAAACTAATCATAAAAAGCTTTATAAAATAATTTTGTTCGCAATTTTTTCAAAGTTGCATTTGATTTTACTTTTGAAAAAAATATATGTTTAAGATCATTTAATTGTTTTGATTTGTAAATTATTATTTTTCAATTTTAAAAAAAAAAACAACTTCAATTTATAGATTTTCTCACGACTAGAAAAAAACTATTATCTGTTTTTAAAGGGTCACACTGACTAGAAAAAAAAACTCTATCTATTAATGATTTTAAAACTTAATTTGTTAATAATTGTATCTTATTTTGTACTTATTTTAAATTAATATTTTTATCTAAAGTCATACTCATTTATTTAAATGAAAATGTTTTTAAATAATCAAATGAAATTTCAGATAGTAAATATGAGAATTTAAAAATAGATAATTTCTGATAAATTAGATATGAATTTACCCCTTTTACAACCTCGATCATTTTACAAACAAATAATCGATGATAATTCAAAAAATTAGTGAAAACTATTATTAAATATATATATATATATATATATATATATAAAATAAGTGATTAAAAATTTATTTAATTCAATAAAATATTTTTAATTTAACATACTCGGGACGAGTGTATACGTAGATATAATAGAAATATAAGGATTGAGTACATGATAAAAAATATATATAGTATTTATCAAAATTAGAAAAAAAAACTTGAAAAAATGTAAAAGATATTATAAATATGTATTATTCCATGTAGGAAAATGTTCCATGTTATGTTTATTTTAATATGATTATTAGAATAATTCTCACGTTTAAACGTGATGTACGAAAATTTTAAAATTAATATATATATATATATATATATATATATATATATATATATATATATATATATATATATTAAAACTTTAATCTATCATAATTTTATTAAATATTTTTTTATAATTTTTAAAATATTATTCATTTTAAATTTTTTATCTATTACAATTTAATTTTAAATGAGAAAAAAAAATATATATATATATATATTTTTATTTTTTTTGAAAACATAGAATATATATTTTTGTTGAAAAAGATATATACATAAGGAGGTCCTTGAAGAGTGCAGAATGGTGAATGCAATGGCATGTGTAGCGGAATATGATGCCCCATTAAATGCATGGATGTGAACGATGATAAGGTGCGATAAATTTTAGTTGGGTGGGAAAAATAATTATTAAATAATAACATACTTTTTCCTCCTCAACCCTCTTTCATCATTTACGTTCTCCATCTTCGTTCTCTGCTGGGTGCCTCCACTTTGTCAAACCCACTATTCACCAAATTCGGAGATTGCAAAAAGCTATGTTCCCCACTTAACTCCACCACCTTTTTCATATCAAAATTCCAACACATTATTTTTTTTTTCTTTTTTCCAACATTTTATCTTTCCACAACCAAACCTACATCTTACTCTCACTTATACAATGCTTTATTTAGAACATTTTCTAATTTTTTACTTTTAAATTAATTTATAATATATACATTATTAATTTATATAATATGGCTACAAATTAGTTTAACTTAAACTTAGTTAACTCATAATTTAAATTAATGAAAACTAAAATATTCAATTTTAGACTAACTTTTCTTTCGCTTATCCTAATTTAATTTTAAAATTTTTGAACCAAATTATAAGATTTTACTTATTTTCACACATTATGCTATTAGTATATAGATTATGATTAAAAAATAATTTAGATTCTAATATCTTATTAAATTTTAACCTAATATAGAATAAAATGGTCAAACAAGTAATAATAATAAAATAAATAAAAACACTGTTCATCCTCTTTTTCCTAACCATCCATCTTTTAACCCCTTCTGTGTGTGTGTGTGTGTGTGTGTGAGTGGAGGCCACCACCACCCATTGATTAATTCTGAAGAAAATAGTATTAGGACTACTAAACACACCATAATTATCTCACTAATTCATATCACGTGACTTGTTATTGGGTCCTTCACCCTAAGTGCACCTTCCATTATTTACACCATTATCATAAAGTATGTGCCTCCCTTCCTCTTTTACAATCATCACCACCCCTTTTTGGGAGCCACCACCACCACCACCACCACCGATGCTCCTCTGTTCCAAGTTTCAACGTACACTCTGCTGAGTTAATGTTATCAAAAATCTTATTTACATTTGAAGTTTCACTTTTTAATGATGCCTTTACTAAGAGAGAGAAAAAGGTGGCAGGAATTCTGCAACACAAGGTTGAATTATGATTTTAGTATAATTGCTTTCATATTTGATGTTTAATGCAGCGTGACAAGCTTTAATTAGATTGCAGCAAAAAATGGTCAAATAAATGATAAACAATACTCCTCCCACTGCTTTCAATACATCAACACAGTGGTCCAAACCACACTCTTTCAATCTGCATTTTCTTAGGTAGGTTCAATCCTAGGGCATCAACCTAAATGCAATTAGGTTAGAGAATTCTAGGTTTTCTTTATTAATGCTAACATAATTAGATTCCACCCCTTTCGTCAACACCATCATAACCACTGCATTTTCTGCATAATCTCTCCGTCTTAAGATTAAACCTTTTTCTAATGTCCTAATAATTTTTATTTATTTTTCTCCTTTTGTGTTTATAATAAACATACAATATATTAAATAAAATACTAGTCAAAAGTTATGATAAGACCATAAATTAAACAACGAGTATTGCACAACTTTATTAATTGATGCGTGTTTGGAGTTAAATACTGGCCAGTATTTTGCTGTCTGGATCCCACTAAAAAAGAGCCTAAAAACACATTTCAATTCAATTCCATTACGCGTTTCATTAATTATCTCTCTCCCCCAAACAATGCATTATTGCATTTTATTAAACAAAAATAAAGTTAATTATACATAAAATTGAAATATTAATTAACAAGATCTAATTACTACTTAATTAAGGTGATTAAAAAGTTAATATGGCAGAACGGCACAGTTAGAAAATCTAGGGAAAGATCACATCCATGCAACTCAAGCGTTTCTGAGTTGACTCCCAGCACCATTGCAATAAATAAGAGCTTTCATTTTTTCAATATTAATATTAATGCAATTTAATTTACTAATATAATAATAAGTAAATAAATGTACTCGTAGTGTAAGTGCTATCTTTCTTTATTTTCTTCTCTCTTAACGCTTCATCTTCTTCTTCTGCTTTGGTTTCTCTCTCTTCTCTGGTTTTGTGCCGGTGCTGTTACTGCACTGTGTTTTTCTCATTTGCCGAGGTGAAAACCCTAACCGGAGAGAGGGGCTGGATTTGGCCGGAGGGGAATATCCGGCGAGAATTTGCGGCGGAGGGGATCGGATCAGGCGGGGGAGGGTTGCTTTCTTGAGGAAGAAAGTGTGGTTGGGATTAGAGAGAGAGAGTGAGTGAGTGAGGGGGGGAAAATGTACAAGAACCAGCTTCAGGAGCTGGCACAGCGAAGCTGCTTCAACCTGCCTTCGTACACGTGCATTCGAGAAGGTCCCGATCACGCGCCGCGCTTCAAGGCCACCGTTAATTTCAACGGTGAGATCTTCGAGAGCCCTCAGTACTGCTCCACCCTGCGTCAGGCGGAGCACTCCGCCGCTGAGGTCGCGCTCAATTCACTCTCCAACCGTGCTCCTTCTCACTCCCTCGCCGCCAGGATCCTCGTGGGTTTCTCTCTCCATCACTGTTTTTCTTCTGTGCGGAAATTACCGAACTGACCTTGCTCTGTGAAATTTGCTGTTTCGGGTTCGTTTGTTGTGCAATGCTGTTTGTTTGTAGTGGAATGGTTTGGTTTTGAATTTGGGGTATTGGTGAATTTTGAAGCTAATTTGAGTAATTGTTATTATTAGAAACTGGTTCCGTGAATGAGATCGCGAGATTTGTTTCTTAAAAAGTACTTCAGCTTTGCACTCTGGTGTTGTGAATTTTGGTGATTTTATGCTGACACTCTTCCCCTTTGGCCGTGTTAACTTGATAATTATTGTAAAAATTGTCTGTTTGCTTCACCGAGAACACTTGCTCTCTTCTTTCCTCTCTGAATATTTTATGCACGTTTAAGAGCTTTTTATTCGAATTTACGTTTTAGGGCTTTGATGTCGCTGTGTGTAGATATTATTGGTAATTTTGGGGTTGATGTGCTTATTGGATGTAAATTTTTAGGATGAAACGGGAGTATACAAGAACCTCTTGCAGGAAATTGCACAGAGGGTAGGGGCGCCATTGCCGCAGTACTTTACATTCAGGTCAGGCCTCGGTCATCTTCCTGTATTTACTGGGACAGTAGAGTTAGCTGGAATTATGTTTACTGGTGAACCTGCTAAGAATAAGAAGCAAGCGGAGAAAAATGCAGCTATGGCGGCTTGGTCTTCTCTAAAGCAATGTAAGTGACTAGCTGGCTTTTGCCTGAGTGCTTTTCTTTCATGTGAAATGATATGACACTTTACATCACTTTGTCGTATGGATATGGATTCAAGATGCCACAAAAGGGAGCAGTGGCAATTGACGGCCCATCCCTGTATTCCTAATTCGTGTAACAAATGTGGCAATTGACCAATTTGAAAACTTTCATATTATGGGGCTGCTGAGGCAGTGTACTGGTTGTTCCTACCGAATATATTACTTTTTCGTGGTATAGGCCAAGACCATCTTCGATGCTTGATCCTTGTCCCATGCGACTTTCTTTTGAGAAACATAATATGGTGCGCTAGATGGTTTGCTACAGTGGCATTGCAGGGTGGGGTAGCTCAATACTGCTGTAAATGATTCTCTATCTCATTGCTTCAGCTTTGAGCAAATTGTAGTTGATATTAATTGGGACAAAGCTGCACCTATAGCACTGGGAATTCTAGGGTTGTAATCCCTGTTTTTTCTATTAGGATCCTTACTAGCATGTTTGGCTCAGCTTAAATCTGGTGAAATAATCTTTTATTTGTTAAACGTTATTCTGGAAGTTTACTAGAATAAATAATCAGTTTTCCAAATTAAGGTGAACTAAACACTGTCTATAGAGAAAGGCATCACCTGTTTGCACTTCAGTTTCTCTCCCCATTTGCTTTCCGACTAAATTCTTGAAGTTCAAGCATTTTCCTGTCAAAACTGCATTTTTTGGGGCAGACCAGTCTATGCATGTTATCAGATCTTTGCTGTGTCACTACTGCTTTCTCCAACTTTATAGATATAATATTTTCGTTATATTTGATAACACCTGTTACTTAACTAATTAGTTTTTCATTTTGGCACATAGACAGAACCGTGCTGTTACTTGTTAGACAATAGTAGTTCCCAGCTGTAGTTCCAGCCCATAGCAATTTTTCTTCTTCAACTTTGCTTTGTTTGATAGACTGACATGTTTATTGGCTTAGGTTGAGTATTGTTGTCTTTAATTTTGATAGTTTTTGTTTTTTCTGAGTATTTATTCATGTGTAGTGTAAATTGCTTATGTTGTATCCATAACTTTTAAATATACTGGCCACTTTTGAGTTTGCGGGTCAGGCTGCTATATGCTATCATCTCTCATTGACAACCATTGCCTTAAGATATGTTGTATACATGATGAAATATGAATTAACAATAATTTTCTTTCTTGACAGTGGCTAAAGAAACTGCAAGGTCTTCTACTGAACCAGAGAACAACGACGAACTAGAACAGATCACTATAGCACGGGCTCTGCGGAACTTCCGACTGAAGGAAAAGATTTCAATGTCAAATCAAAATGCACCAATTCCATTTCCAAAGAAGTTTCAGATTCAAAACCCGAGACCAACCAGCCCTCAGCCTCCTGCTGCTGCTACATCAAAGATTCTTCCCTTAATATGCCAAAAGGCAGCTTCTCGAAGCAGGCATCCTGTTGCAGCATCCCCAGCACCAGCAGCCCGGGACAATTCTGCGATGCCACAACTTTCTGTCACACCAGACAGCCGAGGAATTCGACGCCCTAAGTTCCCTGCTGCTGGAGCTGCACCTTATGTTCCAATTAGACAAATGAGACCTTGCCAGGGAATGGCACCTCCAGTGACGATACGGACTGCAATACCTGTATTCTCTCCACCACCACCACCAGCAGCTGCTGCTGCTGTGTCCCTTCCAGTACTACGAGCTCCTCCTGTTCGAGTTGCACCTCCTGTGACTATTAGGCAAGTTGTGCCAGTATTTGCTGCTCCACCTGTTCGAATAGAAGAACATGTTCCCAGCCTTACCAACCTAGAACCTGTTCCCACCCCAAAAGACGAAGCTCCGACTATTAGTTCCCCTAGTCTGGAAGACAAACTACCAGCTAAAACTCTAGAGACAGAGATCAAGACTGAGAAAATTCCAGCTGAATCTGAGACAGTGCAGAGCTTGGTGCAGCTGAAAATTTGATGTTGCATTGGAATTGAGATCTGAATCCATGAGAATGTGGTCACGGTTCTATGACCACGTGGAGTTTGCTTCTCATGTTATAGTGAGTGATGTATTATCATCCCTTCCTTTTGTCCTGTTAAAATCGGACAGTTGGTGTCGGTTAGCATCAGCGGTCCAAATATCTGTGAAATTCAAGAGCAGTTTACCATATAATTTGCCTTTGTTTTCTTTTATTTTTTATTTTTATGTAGTTAGTCATATATCATCTATTATGCATATTCATGCGCCATCACTCTTATTTCAGCAGGCAATTGGGGCTTTGTCTCTTTAGGGACATCATTTGAGTTTTGTCTGTTGTTTTGAAAAAAGGTGGACACTGCACCCTTGCTTGTTATTTCGTTCACAAAGAATCCTCATTCATTGCCATTAAGCTCGGACAAGAAATCCATACTAGGCTCCAGCTCATCTATGTGTACATCTTAGGTCACTGTTCTTGATTTATCAATGGACCTATCTGAGCATGATCAGATTCACCAAGTTCAAAAACTTTTCCGTCGAGAGTAGTTTAGTCTTTTTGGATGGGTGATGTTAAATCTAAGAAATCACAAATATAATAATAATTTTATGTCAAATTAATTGAATGTGTACTGGTACAGCACAATTTATGCATCATCAGATTCTGCAAGTTCAGTATAAATTTAGCCTATACTCGATTTTATTGTCCTAATTTTGATTACTTATGGTATGTCTCTGTAGTTTATCAAATACGCAAAATTTAATCCTTCATCCAATATTAATAGAAACATTAGAGGTATTATGTATAATTGCTTTGTATAAATTTGTCAAGAAAATATACAATAACTAAATAAAATAAAAACAATATGTTTGATTATGTTAAATATATTTTATTTTACTTCAAACATTTGTAAATTTTATTCATTAATTATTGGATAAAAATTATTTATAGTCCAAATGTACGCCTTAAATTTATATTTCTTACTATTTAAAGTAAAAAAAAAGTCACTTAAAATATGTTCCATATAACAAGATTTAATATCAACTATTTTCTTTCTTATTTTAATTATCGAATAAACTCTAACATTACGCTATCTATATCTAGTTCATAATCATAAAGCTTAACTTGACCCATTTACTTGTTGTAAGTAATGTTTTGCACAACTTGATCTGTAAGAGTTTGAGTACCTCTTCGACATAACTTGACCCATACCCGTTATCTCATTGATATATTTTGAGTACCTCTTCGACATAACTTCAACATATGTTTTAGATACAAAAAATGTAAAAAATAAGATTTTAGTTAGTAACTTAGTTAAACAAGTGAATTGTGTGAAAATTAAATTAAATATATAAAATTATAGTTGGAATTAAATATTTTTTAATTCTTCTAAAACATAAGGGTTTTACTTTTGATTTCTCAAAATTTTTGGTTTTTTTTCCTATAAATGTAAAATATGTTAAATTTGATTTTTTTCACACATGACTTAAGTAGTTTATACCATATATCATTGTATCTTTAATGAAATGGATTGATAAATAATATTTTATTATGAGTAAAACTGTATTTTTGAATATGGATATGTGATTACTTGGAGCAAATGTATATTTAGAATGACTTACCTCTTCGGAGTAAAGGACTTGTTTCTTCTTCAAAATAATAAAAGAATAACAACTGGTTCAAGGTTATATATATGTCTTCAACTATTTCAACTATTCAGAAACTCCAAAATGTTGTTTGCACATAATGATTCCAACCTTCTATTAATTTTGAGAAGAGAAAGTTCTTCTATTTTCAAGATATGTAAAACTCTTTAATTTTATCAATGACAACTCTTTTAAAGTTAAGTAACAAATGCCAATTATCAATATTCATGTAAGTTACGTATTTAATGAAGTTGCTTACGGTGACCAAATTTAATATATTTTACTTTTATAGAATAAAATCATAATAATTATTTTATAGATTGAATTTCCCTTTACAAATATATGGAGAAAGAGAGAGGAAAAAAATCATTCGACACCCATAAATTTATATTTTAAAATATACAATTTGATTTTGATAAAAATTTTACATGATGCAATAAATTTCCCTTGACTTTGAGTATTTATTCTCTCCATCATAGTACTTGAAAAAGTTACTTCATGTGAAGGTGGTGGTGACATCAGCTTGACCGGTAGTCCGATTCAAAACCTAATAGTTTGAGTCTTTGAGTAGAGTAGGTTTTCCCAGGTAGAAATATATTATTTTCTATTATTGTGATTATTGAATAAATAAGTTATATCCATCTAATCTATAATAATTATTATAAAATTAATAATTTTATATAGAACGTAAAATTAAACAACCTAATTGTTGAATTTTATAACTATCTTGCCTTGGTTCAAATTAATTAAACTTTTTCATATTTTAATATGTTTTAAAAATATATAGTGCATAGATATTGTATTTAAGTTATTATTATTAGAAATGCATATATGTAATTTATTTGGGAATTAATAAATATTTTTTATTAAAAACTATGGGTAGGTTGTATTAATAGCATTAAATATCATACTTTTTTATACAAAATAAACTTCTGATATTTGTATTTAACAATTACATATGAAGATTTGTATTCTGAATGCATGAAAATTAATCTCTTATGATTGTTCATATTATCTATGTATGTGAAGATGGAAGAACACAGATGGAGTACCACAAACCTTTCTGGCACTGATCACCCTACCTTTTGTCGAGGCAATTTCGTTGTCATTAATTTTTTTCTTTTCTTTTCAAATTTGTCTTAGCCACGTTGTTCTGAGAGGGTTGAAAACACACACTCTTTGGAGTGGTTCAAATGTGAAATCAAACCAGATGAATGCCATCCTAACCTGTCAAGTCATTTTCATGCTGTGGTTGATTTACAAGACCTTCCTGTGTAGCCCTGATGAGCCACTGTTCAAAGAGACATACATTTGGGTTTGCGAATAATGCAAATCACAGATTGGTGACAAGAGAAGACGGGTTAACTCAAGCTTCCATAATTAAACCAGCAGAACCTTGCACTAATCATCTGAAACCTTTCTGTGTCCCAGTCTTAAATGGAAGTGCAGAAGGACTCATGGGGTGGTAGTTGGTGTTTGTTTAATGCTTGTTTGAATTGGACAGAATTTGAAGCTGACCATGATTCTTCACAATTTAATAATTATTATGAGCCAGGTCCTCTTTTCTAAAAGCATTACAATCAGAAACTGCAACTATGTGCCATAATTGAGTTCAGAGATTCCCAAAACGTATAACTGCTTATTCCCATTCATTTATTGCCTTGGAGCCTTGTCTTACTTTTATCTCTCTCTGTGAAATGTTTTGCTAATCATACACCTATTATTCTGCATGATATTCCATTGTTTGGTTCCTATTATCTTATCTACCAAATTAGAACTAATATATTCCTTAGATACTACCTTACATTCTTATCTTTGGACTCTCTTTTAAGTGGGGTACCTGAGAATAATATAAAGCCAACAGGGATCAAACCTTGATGCAGACGCATCAAAGCCATTTCATTTGTTGCCTATAAGCAGCACGATATTTAGTTAACTAACCTTGTTCACAAGTTATTTCTATTGTTTTGGTTTTTTTCACTTTTTTGGCTATTAGCTTCCTTCTTATAATTGACACACAATGATGCTTATGGCAGAGGGAATTTTCTTTCTCCAACTTGATTGGTTTCCATTGGGAAAAAAGAAGTTAAGGTTGTTAAGTGGCTTGTACGACGCTATCCCACTTTGCATATTTAACAAGTTCATAGAAAATGATGGGATAAGTCACTACAAGAAAAAGATTATTATACTTGCATATGGAGGCAATATTTATGCCTTACTTTACAGAAAAAAGAAAAAAGAAAAAAATCAGCATAAGGGAATATAGAAAGAGTAATAAGAAAGGATTACATAGTAAAATCTTAGAAAACTCCATCATAACAAGTAAGGACAAAGAATAGGTAAAACTGTGGACGGGTCCCTCGCATAGTCCCTTGGGCATCGCATATCACAGATACGATTCTTGAAATTTAATTCATGCCAGTTTGTTTCAACCTTCAATGGTAACCTTTTACTGGTGGGACATTACTACGTATCAACAACAAATTCAATACGGTGCCACATTGGAGTATGTTTGTACCAACAAGTTTTCAAATGTTCATAGAGTGCAAAAAAAAATAAAAAATACACAACAAGAAAATATTCTTAGTTCCATCTGCACACTGTAAAATGATGTTTTTGTTGGATTTCTATTTAAAACTAAATGGTATTAGAGTAAGTCATTTAAAAATATAGAAGCTGTATTTAGAAAATTATAAACGAAGACAAAATTAAGACAGACGATAAACGACTTGAAGCTTTTTGGTTCCTAGTAACAGTGTTTGGTGTAAGAAAGTAAAGCCTGGTATTCTCACGCCATGTAATAATATGGGGGGATAGAAGGGTGTTGTGGATGGTGGTGTCCATTGAAACCAAGTACATAGTTTTGCTTAGGCAACACCCTTAACCACCAAGACTCTGCGATGGCATCTTTATCCAAATGTGGGTTAAAGCTTTATGGTGAAAGGAACAGAGCATGGGAAGGTGAAATGATGTGAGAAAACAATAAGAGAAAGAGAGAGAAGGGTACGATAATGACAATAATAAGTGTGCCACTCAAGCAAAGGTCAGTGAGAGAGAGAGAGAGAGAGAGATTTTGAGTGTGTCAAAGTGGCTGACTTGTGTGGGACCAAGTCTCCACTTCAACGACACCAACACCTCAAAGCAAGGCCACCTCAGCATTCTATTGATTTACGCAACAAACCAATTTTTAATAAAGGAAAATTGAATGAGGGGTGTGAATGGAGCCGGCCCAGACAGGGAGGGCCCACTTGATTGGACCTGAAATGGGGCCCAAAAGGGGTGTTTCAAGAGAGAGAGTGTGTGATATGTTATATTCCTTTCCTGTGAGAAAAGAAAAGCAAATGACTGAAGGGAAAAGGAGATGGGAACCCTCCAACCATTGGGAAGAAGAAGAAGAAGAGAAGAGAAGAATGAGAAGATGAATTAAACGATAAAGAAAACAGAAAAGATGGAACAATCACAGAAGGAGAGGGGGACAAAGTGGAAGGATGTTAATCCCATCATTGTAAAGTTTAGAAAAGAAAATATTCCCATTTGACTTTCTTATATCTCATCATACACCATTCATTGTACTACATTTTTAGGGAAAACTAAACTATACACACACATTCTCTTCTCTAACTTCACAAAACAACAAAACAAACTTCCTTCCAACCATGCTCCCCCTTCTCCTTAGCAAATAAACCATTTTATTTTTCAAAACACTTAAATTTTGTTGTATCTTTTTGTATTCTTCTTGTCTGGATGAATCATGAACGTCTCAATGTCTCAATTCCCACACGTATTCTAGAAGTGAGGTTGGAATTATTGGTGTGGAAAATGAAATTAGAAAGAGGAATAAAACGTTAATTATTGCACGGCCAAAGTTGTTCGAAAACACTGGAAAAGACGTTGTGAATTGATATGTTTGTGATTAAATGGGTATTGTGGTTGGAGAAGAAAAGGGGTTTGAGGAGTAATAATGAAATTTGGTGTGGATGAATAGTGGTGAGGGCATGAGAGATGAACATCATGTGATGAGGCACAAAGTGTTGCTGTCCATACATTAACCCTTCTTTTTCAATTTTCACTTTCACACAGCAAAATGGGGGGAGAGAGTGAGTGAGTGTTGTCTGATATGAACTGATTGCACCCAAATAATGCCGACAACACCATGGAAGCACGAAGCCCTTTTTTCCCATCTTGCAAGTCAATTTCTTCTCACTTTTGCTTCCCATTTTCCACATGGGGTTTTCCCATTCGCATGCTTTCAATGGAATTAAGCAAAGTCGTATGGAGCAGATTGGAAAATCTTCTCTTTTTTGAAACTCTGCTCTTCAATCCAAACAAATATCTTGACCATATATTTCTTTCATTTCTTTTGTTTTTCACTACTTGGATATGTCAAAACTTCTCTGTTTCTGTCATTTTCTGCATTTTCAAACCCCCTTTGGCATCCATATTTGTTCTTTTCTGTTGCTAATATGAAGTCTTTTTGTATGGTGGTGTCATTTCATTCACCCCCACCGAATTCTTTCTCTTCTCCCACCATTTTTAGGTCTTTTTTTTCTCACTTTATTACAATTTCTGTGTTTTTATATTAAAAGCTTTGACTTTTCTCATTTTAAGATCATTCCATTCATGTCATCCCTGCTGATCTTATCCAACACCGCAGCTATGGATACATTTCTATGAAATTAAAGAAAAAAAATCCCATATAGATTAAAATTATGATTAATTTATAATATATAATTGAAATATATAACTAACTGCAAATATATACGCACAATTTTCATATATAAAAATATAATATAAAGTGAGAAAAAGCAAAAATTATATGATATCATGGTTGTTGTCTGTGATGCAATAATAGGAAAGGAAGGTTGGATTAATTATTGAGTATATTGAGAAACAACAAATAATAACTAGTGTTAATCTACCATACCTGTTTATGTATATATCTATATATAATAAATAAATAAAATAAATACTATATACTGTATCTGAGTATTGAATTTATGGGAAGCACGTGACACTGCTTTTCGCGCATGCCAAAAGCACCCAAAACATAAAAATGACACGTCATAGATTATTTTTTTCTATTTCCTTTTTACATATAATAATGCATACACACCCACCTACCTTTATTGGTGGAAATGTCATTTTATTTTAAAAAATCAAAATATCACCGGTCACAACTAACGTGCGCGGATTGTGGTCGGCGCCGGAACATTATTCCTAACAATAATATATAATGTCAACTTCATTTAAAAAATAAAGACAAAACTAAAACACTCCAAGTACAATAATAAATTTGGTTCCAATCAAAGTATTCAAAGCTTTGAGTAGGTTATGTAAATTTTCCTTTTCATTCTTTTTTCTTCAATATCATTCAAGTTTATTTGTTTGTATTTTGCTATAAATTGTTTTTTTTTTACTTTCTATAGTTATATTTTATATAACTTAACATATTAGTGTATGAGAAAAAAAAAGGAAAAAGGGTGCGAAAAATACTTTAAAAGTTAAATTTTGTAAAATAATAATAATTGAGAGGAGTTAATGAAAAAAGTTTTTATAAAAATTAGAGGGTGTTATTATTGTATACTATTATTTGAAGTGGAAGAATGGTCCCTCATATTTTTTTGTATTATGAATTTGTCCTTACCTTACCCCAAGAATCTCCACACTGCCATTTCCATTATCAAAAACTTTTTATTCTTAGTTTTCATTGGTAAAAATAGCTTGCATTCCTAAATAAGTTAATTGAAATTACTGCAAAGTTTTAAATTTGACTTATTTGCCATGTAATAAGGATAAATTAACACTAACTAATCTATTATTCTTCTACCTACCAATAACAATCAATGATGTTTATGAAACAACCTTCTTGTCATTAACAATCACCATAATTAATCATATATTAATGATGTGTTTGAATACACAAACTGATTAAGTGTTTATTAAAATGTAAGATTTTTTATAATTGAAAGATAAAATGTGGTTAAAACAATTCCACACAAGTTGTTAAGTTTTTCTTAGGCAAAAAGTATTTCATAATTATCTATATCAAATAAGTCCAAATATTGCACTTTGATATGATTTTTTTAATTGTACCTTTGTCATTTATTTTATGTTTTGTTTTAATTAAATCAATTAAAGTAAATAATAAAAAAAATGGAATTGTTAAAAAAAATAGAATATTTTTTTAGACTAACTATAATAGTATATTAATACAAAAATTACAAAAAATTTAATATCAACTTTAAGTATCATAAAATATTAATGTTACATCGTAAAAACATATAATTGATTTTTTTTGTTCACATTGAAAATGAAAATGACCTAGAAATTAAAGATTTTGTTTTCAATGAAATAAATACTTATATTTAATATTCAATCATACATGCAAAGGAACTACTTTAAGAAAGCATGCCAGCAAAACTTATGTTAAATTATTTCAAAAATTATATTAAAAACAATTATTCAGTGATTGTAATGAAGGTTTATTATTTTGTGTACCAACAAACGTGACAATAAAAAGTTAAGTTGAAACATTATACAAAATATTCGAACTTGTGTCTTATTTGCAATGTTGGGGAAACAGACTTCCTTCCATAGTTTCTAACATTTAAAAACTTTTTTATTCATATTAATTGTTTTTTTTTTTAATTAGTCCATTCTTTCTAATATTTATTTATTAGTTAAATATTATACTTCAAGAAATTGATAATGATAATTTTATTTCTCTATTTTAGAATATTTCATTTTTAACCAATACACAAATTTATAAAACACAAATATTATATCTACTTAAATATACATTACTTTTATTTTTATTTTTTAATCTGACTGAAAATATTATAAGACATAATATGATATTAATAATATAATTAACATGAAAAATTATTGAAAATAAAAAAAATTTAATTAACATAATTCATATAAAATAAACAACATGACCAAACACTTTTTTTATTAAAATAATAGTTTTTTGGTTAATATTATTATATAAACATTTTCGAAAGCCTTATAATGAATTCATTGTTTTGTATGTAAATTATTGAAATAGTTATTTTTAATCAAAAAGAATTAAATGACAAATTTAAAATAAACAGATTTTAGGTTTACGAGATTAATTGGGAGTCAATCTAGTCAATTTAAAAAAATGAATGTGAGTCAAAGTTACATTACATGGTTAAAGAATGACTATATTTATTTTGTTTTATTCTAGAAATTAACTATATATAAATAATATATTATTTAGTATTATGCCATTAATAAATAATTAGAATTTTGATATATAATACCTTTTAATAATTTAATGTATCTGACTAACAAAATTTACATAAAAATGTAAAAAATGATAAATGCACATTTTTACAATCTCAGAAATTAAGTGCACATTCTGCAATATATCATCAATCAAATCTATTTTGATATACAAAATTTTTCAAAGCATAAATAATATTTCACTAAAAAATCAAGATGATAGCATATGATTTTACGGTTGATTTTGTATGCCACATTTTATGAACAGAAAATAAAAAGTAAGTACAAAAAAATATTTATAAGTAGGTCTCTCGGCAGTGTAATTATTTTCAAATATGAAATATTTTAAATAAAATATTTATATTTTGAAATAACATTAAATTTATAAAAAAAATATTTACACGAGAGAACAAATAAACACATATATTAATATATTTATATTTTAATTAACATTTTAAAGGTTTTTCTGCTCATATCTCTTTTTCTTCTACTTTAAAACCTATAGAGGCTGAAAACTATTTCATTTGGAATAAGTTTTATTTATTTTTTCCTATGTTTTTATTTACATTATAACTTATTATTTTAATAATCTACAAAAATATTATTTTCACTGTATATAGTATAATTATAAAAGCAATAAATAAATACAAATGAATAAATATTCGTTGTATAACTTAACTATATAAATTATAATTAGTTTCTAGTATATAATTTATTGAGTTAAGTTAACATTATTTGTTTTTATCAAACTTTATTTTAATATTAATTATATAATAATAATAATAATAGTAATAATAATATCAATAATAAGTATAAGTATAACATAGTTTTAATATAACAAAATTACAGTAATAATTATAGTTTTAAATTTAAGGTTAGTAATATTTTTTTTAACTTTCTCATAACACTATATTTTGAATAAACTTTGGAAAATACTTGAATGAAATTCAATACACATTTCGAATTCTAATGTATAAAAGAAATTTATAGTGAATTAGTAAAGAAAAAAACAAGTGGGTATAAATAAAATAGAAAAAAATTGTTTATAAATAAAAATGATTTCAGTCTAAAAATATATCTCAATTAATTTGAAACAGTACAAAGTGAAAAAAATGGAGAACAAAACTGTAAAACAAGAGAAAAAATGAAATATCTTCAAAATATTAACTTATACCCCTTAATTATTTTAACAATCTTTGTAATTATTGGGGATATACAAATTTTATATAATTTTTAAAACCTAAAAACAAACACCACAACAAATTCTACTCATTTTCATCATTCAGGAAGAATCTGATTTCGGTAGATGATATTAATACAATTTTTATTATTTTGTTACATGTCAACTCTTCCAAATAATGAAAACCTTTTACTTCATTTGTTTCATCTTTCCTAATTTAGTCAACCAAACAAAAGTGAAGAGAGTAAAGAGATTCTCACATTTTTAATACAAATTCTAATTTATTTAGGACAATAAATAGATTAAGAAAATTAATAAATACAAAAATAACCTATAAAATAGCACCCAGTAATTATTATACAAGACAAAAAAGTTTTAACCATTTTAAGTCTTTTAAAACAACATCAATTGTTTTACTACATCTTCATACTTATAGATTTTCTCTTTTAAAACAATTAATATTAAAATGAATTTAAATCATTTTTAACTTATCAACTGTTAAAGAAAAAATATATAATATACAAACACCTCAAACTAAACTTATATATAAAAAGTACTTAAATATTTTTTTATTAATATGTTAAAATTAAACCAAATTAACTTTAACAAATTCACATTTATAGATTTATATTGAAACATATTTTATTTGTAGTATGAAAAATTTTATTTTGATTGAAACTATATTATTATTTTTTCTTATATATTATTAAAGGTTACAAAAAAAGTAGAGTTAAAATAACATTTAAATTTGATTTTTATGTAATAATAATGTTAGGGATCCAATCCCAATCCCAATCCGAATCCATGTCCCATGGATATTGAACTCCGGTCCGGAATTGACAATGAGAAAAGAGTTGGTGAGGACTCACTGCACTGTGGGCCCTACCTGTCAAATCAAAACAACAACACCAACAGGGACAACCACGTAAATGCGCCGAAAATTATAAACAAAAAAACCGAACATACCCTCCCATGTTTCTCGATCTTCGTGCTTTCTGTTCTCCCTTCATACCTCAACTCTCTCTTCTCCCTTCTCACTCACTCACTTTATTCCTTCACTCATTCACCCTTCTCCAACACCAACACCAACACCAACACCAACATGTTTATGCTTCTTAGGGTTTCTTTACCCTCCACACTTTAACCCTCCCTATCTATATCTATTTCTATTCCTATTCCTTCCTTCTACCTCAAGCCCCCTTCACTCTTTCTCTTTCTTTTCAAACACCCCTTCTATTTTCCCCCCTCTTCTTTCCGGATTCTTCTCACCTTTCAAAGAAACAATAAAACCCAATTTGAGCTCAACTCACGACAAGTGGGGTTCCTTCAAAATTAAACCTTTCGGTTTCGAGTTGCAAGGGAAAAGAAAGAAAGAAGGGACAGTGAGTGGGGTGTGCGGGGTTTGGTTCTATCTGAGCTGGTAAAAGAAACTAGAGTTTCCTGTTAACAATTTGGAGCTATTCGCTGCAATTTCAATGAAAGAGAGTTCCTTTCTTTCTCTCTCTTTGTCTCTCTCTCTCTTCCCTTTTATTTTTTATTGTCTGAGCTGGTTCCACTGTAGAGGAACTTGAGAGAGTGTAAGGAACCAGTGACGGTGGTTGCACATAATTGCACACTCTTTCTTTGTCTCTCTGTGCGTTTCCTGCCCCCTTCAACTCTACCCGGGTAGAGTTTTCTTATGTCAAGTTACTACCTTTACTAGTACCAACTTCAACCACCCTCCCTTTTTCATCTTCTTTTAGTCCTTCTTGTCGAGAGTGAACGAGTGTGTGCTGTGGGCAGAAGGAAGCATGGCTATGGCTGTGGCTCAACACAGGGAGAGTAGCAGCAGTGGAAGCATTGACAAGCACCTAGATGCTGGCAAGTATGTGAGGTACACTGCTGAGCAAGTGGAGGCTCTTGAAAGGGTCTATGCTGAGTGTCCTAAGCCTAGTTCTCTGAGGAGACAACAATTGATCAGAGAGTGTCCCATTCTCTCCAACATCGAGCCTAAGCAAATCAAGGTTTGGTTCCAGAACCGAAGGTAAGCCAAATCAACACTTCTTTAAGCCCTTTCTTCATAGTGTTGAAAGTGGGTCTTAGATGTGGGTTTGGATGGTGTGCAGGTGTAGGGAGAAGCAGAGAAAAGAGGCTTCTCGGCTTCAGACTGTGAACCGCAAACTCACTGCAATGAACAAGTTGTTGATGGAGGAGAATGATCGGTTACAGAAGCAGGTGTCACAGCTTGTATGTGAGAATGGGTATATGAGGCAGCAGTTGCATACTGTAAGTGTGTCTCTTCTGTCTGATTGTCAATTCTTCACCTTTTAGGGGTTTTGAGCAGAAAAAAATTGGTGAAAAAAATGTACTTAAAATATGGCGGAGAAGTCAAGAGAAGAGAAGAACCTATCTGTTTTTGGTTTTCTTGCATGCTGATTTTGTGTTGGTGTTAGTAGCTGTTGTTGCTTCACTGTTACTAATTGTTTTGTGTTTTTTTGGATGTTATTCATGCTATTTCTATCCTTGCAGACATCCGCAGCAACTACTGATGCTAGTTGTGATTCGGTGGTAACCACTCCTCAGCATACCATGAGAGATGCTAATAACCCTGCTGGGTAATTTCAGCTTCATGAAGTGAAGTTTCTGCTTTTGTGTGATTAAGCTTTACTCGATTGGTTTATCTATTGTGATCCTTGCAGACTCCTATCAATTGCAGAGGAGACCTTGACAGAGTTCCTTTCAAAGGCTACGGGAACTGCTGTAGATTGGGTCCAGATGCCTGGGATGAAGGTTTATTTTTTCTATTCCTTCCAATGGATCAGTTAATAAACTAGTGACCTTTGGCATCTATAGGATACTCTTTGTGATACCATGCTGATTTGAATTTACTAAACTATGCAATTACCTCTGCATCTAAAAATGTTCTTTATGCCAGCCTGGTCCGGATTCGGTTGGGATCTTTGCCATTTCACAAAGTTGCAGTGGAGTGGCAGCTCGAGCCTGTGGTCTTGTTAGTTTAGAACCTACGAAGGTAAATTCACCATGTTAAGAAATGGTTTGGATTTTTTGTCCTTTCTTGGAAGGCCAGTCAACTTCTGTAAGCTGTTTAGATTTGAATTTCTGAATGGCCAATTTTCAATAGATTGCAGAGATCCTTAAAGATCGTCCATCTTGGTTCCGGGACTGTCGGAACCTAGAAGTTTTTACTATGTTTCCTGCTGGGAGTGGAGGAACCATTGAACTTGTTTACACACAGGTGAGTCTCAAATTGAAGACTTATTTATCAGTTTTTGTTTCTTGTCATTCCTGTTATTATACTTCAAAAATTCTACAGACATATGCCCCAACAACACTGGCTCCTGCCCGGGATTTCTGGACTCTGAGATATACCACAAATTTGGAAAATGGCAGTCTTGTGGTGAGTATGTTTTTCTGTTGGATGCATTATGTAGATTTGTAGAATTTATATGTAACACACTGTTGCATAGTGTTTTCTTTAAACTCTTTTTGACGGTAGAAAATTTAATATACTTGGTGCCTTATTCCACTTTTGAAGGTTTGTGAAAGGTCCCTGTCTGGTTCTGGCTCGGGCCCTAATCCAGCTGCTGCTTCTCAGTTTGTAAGGGCTGAAATGCTTCCTAGTGGCTACTTGATTCGACCATGTGAGGGTGGAGGATCAATCATTCACATAGTAGACCACCTAAATCTTGAGGTTTTGCCACTTAACACTGAGCTAATGTATTTTTCTTTCCTTATCTACATTAATTTTCTCATTGTTTTCTTAGGCATGGAGTGTCCCAGAAGTGTTACGGCCACTTTATGAATCATCAAAGGTGGTAGCTCAGAAAATGACAATTGCGGTAAGTTCACTGTTGTTAATACATAATAAAGGAATTTACACCCTAATTTGTATGGACTAGTAGTGTTATTGTGAACAATGTGCAAGCTGAACCACAATCTTGTGCTAATCCAGTACTTTCTCATTTAATGTTTTAGTAATTAGTGTCTGACCTAAAGGTGTAAGATTGTCTAGCTGATTCGTCCTTTGGAAATTGTCAATAATGTTTTGGGCGCTGGCACTAAAATATTCTGATTAGATATGTACATTTTCCCCTTCTGTTGTTTCATTCATCATTTGATGTTCTGCAAATACTTGGGTATTTTTCTGGACCTATGCTTGCTTCATGCGATTCACATATTCTGTGCCTTTAAAAAGATAGGTGTTAATTTGATGACTTTTGTGATAGGCACTTCGCTATATAAGGCAAATAGCACAGGAAACAAGTGGTGAAGTGGTGTACGGGTTGGGCAGGCAGCCTGCTGTTCTACGAACTTTCAGCCAGAGATTGAGCAGGTAGCCGCTTGAAGTAATGTTTTGTTGAAGGCTAATTCAAACTGCAGTTCTAGAATGCTAATTTTTGTAGTATGATCTGATTCATTGAGTTTTCTGTGGAAAATCAATGCATTTGACTTGCAGAGGTTTTAATGATGCTGTAAATGGATTCAATGATGATGGGTGGTCTGTACTGAACTGTGATGGTGCTGAGGATGTAATTATTTTAGTTAATTCAACCAAGAAATTGAGTGGAACTTCTAATCCAGCTAGTTCCCTTACATTCCTTGGAGGAATTCTCTGTGCAAAAGCTTCTATGTTACTTCAAGTGAGTCTTGAGAACCCAATGTCGTGATATTTTTAAGTGATAGTTTTCATTGACTTGAATGAGGACACATTATGTAATGCCTTTCTTTTTTTGCCTCACATGGTATTTGTTAACTAGTAAAATTGGCTATTGATAGATTTGAGCCCCCTTAACAATCTTGGCCAATAAGAGACCTTGATACTTTGATAAGTATGGAACATGATTCTACCTTTAAAGGGATTGATGATTCTTTAATTTAAAACTATAGATGGCTATGATTTGCCGCTGTTAATGTTATTTGACAAGTTATGGTTGAAAATTATGTGCAGAATGTCCCCCCTGCAGTTTTGGTTCGATTTCTGAGGGAGCACCGCTCAGAGTGGGCCGATTTCAATGTTGATGCTTATTCTGCTGCATCACTGAAAGCTGGAACCTATGCCTATCCAGGGATGAGGCCTACAAGATTCACTGGTAGTCAAATAATTATGCCTCTTGGTCATACCATCGAACATGAAGAGGTAGGTTTGTATTCTTATAAATTGGACGGAGGATGCATATTTGCTTTGGGCTATTTGTTTCACCCGCACAAACAATTTAGTTTCATTGTCTTGGACATTTGTATTTGCAAGTAACATTCCTGATATAGTTCGTGTTTTCACTACAGATGCTTGAGGTTATTAGGCTTGAAGGCCACTCTCTTGCTCAAGAAGACGCATTTGTTTCTAGGGATATTCATCTCTTACAGGTGATGCTTGTAACATTTGTTATTTTTTCTTTTACGTAAGCTGAGAATCAATTGTGAATTTGTCATCTTTGGTGCAAAATTGCTATTTTGTATTAAATATGCAATGATATTTATCTTGTCTTGCAAAACTTAAATGAATACCATTACAAGTTCTCTATTAGATTAAGATTTTCACATTAGAACTTCATTTTAGTTTTAAAGTGTTGCTTGAAATTTTTGCTATGTAATTATGTGTATCTTCCTGCATTCTTGGCATCCACTTCATTTATATTTCTTTTCTGTGCAGTTAAATAATCTCTTGAACGACAATGCTAATACAAGTCGATTCTAAAGTGCTTTTTTCTGTTGTCCTTCTTACAGATATGTAGTGGAATTGATGAGAATGCTGTAGGGGCCTGTTCGGAACTCGTATTTGCTCCAATTGATGAAATGTTCCCTGATGATGCTCCATTAGTTCCTTCTGGTTTCCGCATCATTCCATTGGATTCAAAACCAGTTGAGTTTTATTTGTATTTAACTTTTAGTACTCTCTATTATACTTACTTTCTCAGCTCTTAATCTTCACTCAAGCTCCTGTGAGAACATGTAATAATTTAAGAGTGCATATTACTGAATTTTGTGTGCGTGGCCTCTCCAAGCCTCTCCCTGAATGAATACAAGATATTACTTTTGCAATTTGTATCCAAACAATGACTGAAAATGTACTGCCTGTTTGTTAGAATGGATCTACAATTGCTGTTGTCCATGTTTATCCCTTCTGTAACATTACTACATTCTTGTGTTATAGGGTGACAAAAAGGACATAGTTGCTACAAATAGGACCTTGGATTTGACTTCGGGTTTTGAAGTGGGCCCAGCAACAACTTCTGGTGCAGATGCATCATCAAGTCAAAACACTCGATCAGTGTTGACTATTGCCTTCCAGTTCCCTTTTGACAGCAGTTTGCAAGATAATGTTGCAGTCATGGCACGACAATATGTCCGCAGCGTGATCTCCTCAGTTCAGAGGGTTGCCATGGCTATATCTCCGTCAGGTATAAACCCAGCTGTTGGAGCAAAACTTTCTCCTGGTTCTCCAGAGGCTGTTACGCTGGCTCACTGGATATGCCAAAGTTATAGGCAAGTATTATAATTCATATTTGTTCTCAATGGAAAATAATACAAGCATGCCGTTTAGTCAAGTATTTGTTTTCTAAAAGAAATGTCTAATACGTATTTTCCCTATGTTTTGTAAACCAGTTACTATATAGGTTCCGACTTACTTAGATCAGATTCTCTTGTTGGGGACATGATGCTGAAACATCTGTGGCATCATCAGGATGCTATTCTATGCTGTTCACTGAAGGTAAACTTGTGTGCCTTTTATTCTCAAATTGTGACTGATCCTTGTTTTCATAGCAAGTTGGAAAAGGATAATTTTATGATTGCTCTTTATTTCTTGTCAAGTGAGATTAATATGATTCTTCACCATTTGATATTGCAGTCATTACCAGTGTTCATATTTGCAAATCAAGCAGGCCTTGACATGTTGGAAACAACTCTAGTGGCCTTACAAGACATCACATTGGATAAAATATTCGATGAGTCTGGGCGCAAGGCATTGTGTACAGACTTTGCCAAATTAATGGAGCAGGTGATTTCTGATTATCACAACTTTCTAGTTACAACTATACTTTGATTTGGAAAATGGCTTAATTTTTTTGGTCTGTTTATATGTTCATTCTGCCTTCAGGGTTTTGCATATCTGCCAGCTGGGATCTGTATGTCAACGATGGGGCGTCATGTGTCATATGATCAAGCCATTGCATGGAAAGTGCTCACTGGAGAAGACAACACTGTTCACTGCTTGGCTTTCTCTTTCATAAACTGGTCATTTGTATGAAAAACCAGTTAGTGTGCCCTACTTTTTCCCACTTGAACATAAAAAATGAAAGGGTTAAAAGGGAGACAGACAAATTTGGAGGGAAAAAGAAATCCTAAATTTTTGTATAACACAGGATCAGGTTTGCATTTAATTCGATTTAATTTATTTCTTATTTAGTGCAGAGACCAAATTGAATTAATCTTGTAAATTATTTAGTGTTAGATTGAAGTTGAGACTTGAATGAAACATGGTGAGTGAGTACTTTGTTTTTGTCTCTAGTACTAGTAGTATCTAACTTGAGCCACAGGACCTGTGTGTGATGACAAAGCGCATCTGTGATGTTTCTTACACAATCACAGTTCTGACTTGTCACCAAGATAGTACTACACATCCTTACTTGAGTACACTTTGTTTTATTACACGATACTAAAAGTTTCATTTGAAGAAACATACAAATGCTACGTGGGTGTCTCTAATACCCCATTCTTCTACATCGTTTGAACATATCTGAAAGAAAAAAAAAAATCTAATCCTGTAATTGCTGTGGGAAAACTTGTCTCCATCCACTGGGGATTCTGTCTTCATTAGTTTTCCCATCACTGTCATTTTATGACTTCAAAGATTTACGATGTTTCCAATTTCATTTTCCTTTTATTCCTTCTCTTCCAAGACCTGCTTCCTAGGCACACACACATCTTCACCTTGCCCAATAATAGCCCAACAAATAGCTGCAGAAATATTGTTTTGGGGAATTAGAAGGTATAAATTTTATATAACTTCAACTGTTCAAATTTATTATTTTGTTAGCTTTATTGGTATATTTTCTTACATTCCAACCAACATTGTTTTAAAATCTAACTCATTGTAAGTCAATGTGAACGTTGAAAAATGTATGATCTTGTATTAAAAAGTAATAACCCATTGTAAGGCAAAATGAATCTTAAAAAAATAAATAAATCATTAATTCGATTCATTATTAGGATAAGTATGTTTAATTTGTTTTTAAATGAGAGTATTCTTAGAAGTTATATTTATTATCTTAGAACACATTTCTTTTTTTAATCCTATGTAAATCCGTAGAACCATTCTTGTGTAATATTTATCTTTATATTTGTTTTTTCAATGATTTATCTCTTTCAATTTATATATTTTTTCTCTTTATTTCTTAATCAAATTTCAATATTTTTTTAGTATAAATGATCAATAATTAAAAAATAGCCTTGCATCACACCATGAAATATATTTTTAATATATGTTCATAAATATTTATTTATCATAACATTTAACCAAAATACATTTTATATATTCAAATATTGTTTTTTTGCAAGCAACAATATTTTAAAAAAGTATTAGTATCAGTAAAACACATATGCTATACTAATCCTTTCATTTAGTTTTATTTTTTACCTTCATATCTAACTTTCAACTCAAAAGCATTTCTTAATTTAAATTTTAAAATTGTATGACACTTTAAATAATTAAAAAAAATGCATATTAAATAAATATGTATATGTCATATTCAAGTTTAAGAATAATTAGAATATAATAAATATATAGTTATATAGAATAATTTTAGTAAAACATTTGATTTTACTTGAAATAGAAAACAAAAATCAATCTAATTTACTCTGTGTTCTATTATTACAAAATGAAAATATAATAAAGATGTATTTAGTTGAACATTTTTAATATTTTTTATTTCCAGAAGTATGTCTCGCTGAGAAAGCGCGACGCGACCCAGCGTCTCCACCCACGAAACGACGCAGTTCTCCGTTCTCCGTTCACCTGAACAACCGTCACAGACACTTTGGTCTCGTGTAGGTCAGTGTTTGCTTTAACCCACCTGATCCGACCCGAATCTATTTCTTGTAATTTGCTAATTTAAGTATTTTAAGATGCGATTCAAATTTGATTGGGTAATGTACATTATTAGTTTTGAAAATTGCGGGATTGTTTTGCAGTTGTCGAACACTTTCTTGTACCCGAAGAAAGGAAAAATGGGGTTATGCCTTTCAAAGCTCGTTGTTGTATTGTTAATATTTCTCAGCTTCTCTGTAGCATGCTCCTCTGCTACAATGCGCACTAATAATTGGGCTGTTTTGGTCTGCACTTCTCACTTTGGTACGGTCAAGTTTTGTTTTGTTTTGTGTTTTTTTTTTTTTTTACTTTTTTTAAATGAAATCCCTGCGAAGCTTTGCTTTCTTTAGTATCTATGGTTTACCTTGAGATTTAGTTGCTCAACATGGTTGATATACTAAATGTGCTGCTTCCCTCGTTCAGGTTAAACTATCGGCATATGGCCAATGCCCTGTCCTTGTATAGGTAAGTGTACATTTTAGCCTTAATTTTAATTGCTTTGTTAGTACTTTGCTCGATAATGATCTGAAGGTCTATAATTCTTTCTTTGACCGAATAATAGTTATCAGAATCTTTCAATTTACTAATAAAATCTTATGATTCAATACTATTTGGCCACTGTCGATTGTATCTTATGATACATGAACGAATTTGTGTAGTTTTCGTATCATTGATACAAACTTGATTAAACCATTTGTCATTTTTTCTTCTTTCACCAGTTCTCATGTAAAAATTGAAAAGTCATAAAAGTTTAAATTGTTAAATGAAAAGAAATTGAAGAAAAACTTCTGAAATTATCTATTTGACCATTTCACTACTTTATTTGTTACTCACTCATTCCATGCATGCACCCTATTGTTACCTATTTAGTTGCTTTGTTTCCATACTTCTAAAATAAAACATACGCAGACTTAGATATAACTTATAGTTTTGTTTTATAATACTTGAGGCCATGCTTTTATTTATTTATAGTTTAAAAATTTAACATTTAATACTATACATCATTTATATGATAAATTTGAAGCAATTTTTCATTGTATATGAATCTTACAATTCAATTCAAGATGTGTTTCACGATTAAAAAATTAGCACAATGATTCACAATTTAAATCTTGATTTGATATCCTTACAATATTTAATTATTTGTACATTTGCAATGGTGGCACATGTGGTACTATCATGTTATTACTAAATTTGTTATGGAATACAAGTGTTGGTGTCAAGACTTTGCATCATAATGACCCTAACTGAACTAAGCTGTGTCTGCTAGAGTACTTTTTGAGTAAGGTTTGAATCTACCTTAAAATAGTTTAGTTCATCTATTGAGCACATGAATAGATTCTGAACTATATGCCTATAACTTCTCTGACAGTTACCAAGTTTGTCTATTGTGAAAAGTTGGCTTACATCCTGAATATATCTTTTACTTTAATGTAATTTATGTTCATTTTAATTCCAAGTGTTATGTTCTCCAACGTAGAAGTTACTAGTGCTGTAATGTTCAATGGCTATAACTTGAAAAGGCCCCATGTTTATTTTCTTCTCTCATTTAATTCTATCAATCTCCTCTAGTATTTAGAAGATAGAATTTTTGTCTCTTTATACTTTTCTAGCGCTCTGGACATGTAGTATCATTTTGAGGATGATCATTTGCCTGCAATTGCTTAGGTAGATTATCGTGGCTATGAAGTGACAGTGAAAAACTTCTTACGAGTACTTACAGGACGTCTTGAGACTGCTGTTCCGAGGTCTAAGCGACTGCTTAGTGATGAAGGAAGTCATATTCTTCTGTATATGAAGTTTCAGGAATCAGAAGAGCTTCAAAGTCATGATTTAGCTGATGTTGTGAAGCAAATGAAAGAGAAATGCAGGTATTGTTTCATATTCGACTGTTTATTTGTGACCTATGAATTGTAAATTGATTTTGTGAAATTAAAAATAATTTTTGTTAATGAAGTATAATTTATTGGGGGCAATGATTTTCGCTGACAAGGAGAGAGGAACGGACAGTGAGTTTTCCGTAGCAAAAATACAAAACAGAAAATAATAAAGATAAATAGGGAATCATTGAAACAAAGCTACCCATTTTCTTGACAGATAGACAATTGAATTAGAACTCTGATTTAGAATGCTTAATATTGGACTGAAATCTCTTTTTTTTTTTCATTCATAATGGGATTTGTTAGGTTTAAGGAGCTTCTGATAATGGTCGACACCTGCCAAGCCTCTACACTGTTCTCCCAGGTCTCAAATTGATCTTTTATTTTTATGATTCTTGAAAACTCCTGTGCCAATTTTAATGAAATAAACTGTGTGGTCTTGAGTATTCATTGTCCAGAACAACACTTATCATTTAAGTGCAGAATGTTAGCTTTAGAGTTGATATCAAGTCTAATGCATACCGTACATTCATCATTGGATGTATTTCGTTGAATGACGTTCTTGCCCTCAGTGCATGGGTTGGGGGTATAAAGAACTCTGAAATTCAGTTCCTCATATTTATTTGCTGTTAGGCTGTTTAGCTTCTGTTAAAGGACCTATATGTTGATGATTTACAATATACATGTACATGAAAAGAGATTATCTTCTAAATGGTTTTCTTCTTTATATATGATGGGTACTTTGCTTTCAGTCTTGACCATCTCTATGGCTATCTCAATTTTAATGCAAGGGGCTGTGCACAGTATAGGGGCGCAGTCTACAGAGAGAGCAGCTTTGCCTATCAGAAGTATTTCTCGGTTAGCCATTGCTTGTTGCCTTGGTGTTGTTTATTCTGTTAGGCATTGATGTTGTTGTCATGTTTCGCTCTGCATTTTGATTATGTTTTTAGATGATGTAAAATTTTGTAAAACCTTGCACTAGTTTGTTTAGATATTATGTTGATGTCCAACATTGCCCTTTTTAATAACTGAGAAATGACCATTTTATTTGCATATATAATAAAATCTGAAGTCCATCAAGCTTCATTTTTTTACTGTATTGCGAACTCCTTTCATCCTATATATGGTGTTGTAGATTACATCATTTATTGACAGAGATTGGGTAAAGCAAATCACAATCATATTAGATTTCCAACAGGACAATTGTTAAGGAAAAATTATTATAGGTTACATCAATTGTTTGTGGATGGAAGTCAGGAGTCAGAGAAATCAATTAGTCATTTAGTCTCTTATTTTCTTATGGCTAAAGAGTCGCGCTTGACTATTAATTGTAATTTTTGGGCAAGCGGTAAGTGTTTGAATCCAAATATTGGTATCAAAGTCAAGATAAGGAGGTTGGTGCTCAGTATGTAGAACTATTGTTGAAGGAAAATTGTTGCGGATTACAGAGACTTAGTTGGTTAAATCATAATCAAGTTAGATCTAGTGAGACAATTGTTGAAAGACATTGTTTTAGGTTACAATGATTTCCTAACAACTGCTCAATCCAACATAGGAAACATCAACCTTTTCTTCAATTATTGCTTCACTTGTGAATGCTTGGAAGGAAAATTGTTATCGGATTACATAAATTATCTCGTTACAGTACAGAGAGACTTAGTGGGTTAAATTATAATCAAGTTCAATCTTGCGAGACAATTGTTATATGAAATACTGTTGTAGATTACAATATCCTTGTTATGACTTCATAAGTATTCCTTTTTTTATATCCTTCTTGATAGAGTAGTTGTATTTATTGATATGGAACCAAAACAAGGGTGTGTAGTATAATAATGTGCACTTTCTACAAAAACAAATGATTGTCAATCATGGAAACAATATAGCTAAAAGTGACTAATAACTAATACAACAGTTAACAGAACAAAACTGTGTTATTGTCTAGACACATTTCCACGTACAAAAACACCAAGTTTGTATGGAATATATGTTTCTTTACACCAAGCATATTACTACATCGCATGTATGCAATAATCATATAGACTACAGTCCTGTTCACTCACTCCACCGCCAAATATGACTGAGTCAACCACCACATGACAAAATCCTAAACTAGATCGGTTTGGTGGAAAATAGTACATGCATGCAAACATTTGGTACTAACACAGTAAGACATGACATGAAGCTTTAAAATCTTGGACAGGTGCAAGACAAAACAAAACAACCAAACCCCTGACATCAACATTTACTTTACAAGCTGTCCCAGTTTCTGCGTGTTACTGTTTTTATTTACCGTGAAGCTAGAGACCAGAAGTTCAGGAGAAAGGATGGAACTGTGGTGAACCAACAAATGAAGGCCATGCCTGTAGCCGTTTCAAACTGCACACAGTGGTTTTTTGAACAACTTCCAAGATCATTATCAATGAGCACAGTGATGCCTGCTGATGCACAGGCTGCTGCAAATGTAAGGGTAGATGTGACCTGCATGGAAGACACCGGTCTTTGAAATTAACACTTTCAGAGGGGAAAAAAGTAACACAGGTTAAAGCTACATGTATACATTATAAACAAGTTGATAATGAAGACAAAATAGTGGGTACGCTTTCCACTACAGTTATGGTGTGTTATATAATACACATCCAAGTGATTCTTCATTGAAACTGTGTGTATAGTGCATACCAGGCTATTCTTTGAGATTAACAAAAAGTAAACGGTGTGAGACGGTATCAGTTTTTGAAAAGTGTGTTACACATGGCTGTTAACGTGAAAGCAACAGGTATTTTAACATTGCAGAATTGTAAAAAGATTACGGAGTCTTACTGTAAATCTTACCCCATCACCAATTGTAAACAAACTGACAATTCGATAGTTCTGCAAGGAACGCCTTACTAAAAGGGCATACACATCAGTAATAGCCAATGAAAAGCTCCACAAAGTCTGCAAGCCGGCGGCAGCAACAAGGTAACTGATAGAAGATGAGACAAACATCGTATGATATGTCAGTATATTTACCAAATAAAACTGGAAATTGAAAAGTATAAAGCCAAAAGTTAATACAATGATGCAATGTTTCAACCAGACAGTAGAGGCAAGTCAGCTTATGGCTTATGGAATAGGGTGCCAGTGTCAAAAACAGGTATATACGATCAGAACAGAACTATGAAAACCAATCCCACAGTATTTGGCTAAGATTCATTTACTTTTTTAATTAAAAATTACTTTGAAGTTAAAGTTCAAATAAGGGCTTTGAAAGAAAATTATAAGTTATTCGTCAATTTTAGTGTGTGGATGAGCATTTATAAATGTGATTTTTTATTAAGATTTTATTTCAAGTGAAGTGGTTCATATTTGGAAGTTTTTATCCTGAAAGCAAGATTGCTACAAAATAATATGAACAACAAAAGGTTGCCTAGATGAATCACGCAACGCGCCATTTAGTGTGGGTTAAAAACCGAAGATTGTTATAAAGCATAGTGTAAATTTTCAACCCAGTGGAAAACCTACCTTTTATCACTTCTAATGAAAGTGGTTTTGTGGAAAAATCAATTTTTTCGTGTAGCTAACCAATCGTCTTTATATTTATAAAATCAAGTTCAATTGAGTCAAAACCAAATTTCATCAAACTACTTAGTTCTTAAAGAATAAATAGTCTATCCATTGATGGTGTAAAGTGTTTCTAAACTATCATTCAATCAAAATTATCATTAATGGTAATTTTTTAATTTTTACATTAACTATTTTAAAAGTCATTACTACAGTCTCTCTGTTTGGTTGACAGTGTAAAATATTTTACACTAGCAATAAATAAAAACTAAACTCTTCCTTGATGCTTTTCAAGAAATGTGTTTGTCTCAACTCCTTTTATTTAAGAGAAATCCAAAAATGCTAAAAACTATCTAAATATGCATCAAATTTAGTAACAGCATCTTATCCATACAATCAGATCAGAAGCCCTGTGGGATGGCATTCAGTCATTATCTTAGTCTTTTCATTACATCCTATGACTATATACAAAAATCCTCTTCCAAAAAGTTAATTATCCTTTTATTTGTCTTTATCTACAGAAATAGAATGTTAGCACATTTCTGATTATCTTCCATCAAGGAAAAATAGGAATGAGTTAGTTATTCTTTTATCACTGTATATCTTTTTTATTATTTCTCCTTATTAGAGGTTAATTAGAGGGATATTATGGGCCAGCCTCATCATATCTATAAATAGGAGGGTACTAAGGTGGAGGGAAGACATTCAAATCAGTATACCTTGTGGGAATAGAGCAGTGACTCTGTTGTAAAAGGGAAAACCTTTGGAGGAGCAATTATCTCCTATTTTAGTTAGGCATAGTTTGGAACAAACAACAGAAAGAGGGAGATGATGGATGTGTGAAGAAATAGATGATAGATGGTGGTTTAGATGGATGAATGTGTGAAGAAAAGAGGGGAAAAAAGGGAATAAGAGAGGGTTTGAATTTTCCACGTTGATATGTGAAGAAATGCACATAAATGGTCACGTATAACAACATAATCCATTATGATGCTACTATGAAGGTGAAATAAGTGTTTTCCATCATTTCATTCTGACCGGTTTTTCACTTTTATTTCTTATCTCTTTCTCTCTTCTTTGTTTCTTTCATTCCCTCTATTTAATTCCTCTCCTCCCAAATAGGAGTATTAATAACATTGTTCTTTCCTTTAATTTCTGAGTTGCTAACAGAAACCATTTCTTTTTCACAAAAACAAATCCAATCTAATGATTTCTGTCCAGTTAAGAAAGTTGTAATCTGTGTCCTCTCAGTAACTTAGGTAGATGTTAAAAAAATGTTGAAACTCGTTGAGGTATAAAGCATGATTGACAGTAAAATTCGAGTCTGTAATCAGTTAACCAACCATATCAACTCTTTTCAAACTCACAATGAATTAAAAAATGTTAGAATAATTTAGAGGATTCAAGCAAAGTCAATTCTATCAGACGCATCACATAAACTAAATATGTCTAAAAATTGTTGTATGTTACAATAGCTCCATTTTGCCATCGAATACTAAGATGAATAACATCAATAATCACTCATTATTAACCTAACAAATTTTAATGCACCTGGCACGTTGTTATGCAGCTCTCTCTCGTATGTTACAATATCTCCATTTTGGAACAAATATTAATACAAATGGCATCATTTTTATTGAATCCTCTAAATCATCCTAGTCTCTAGCAATAAATTCAACACACCTAACACATTTTAAAATCCAGCTCTAGTAGACTCACTCTCATAAGAATGGACAATATGAAGAATGAATTGCCAATCAACTAACTTTCATACAACAACATACTCAGATCCCTAAACTACAAGTCTACAACATTACATTACCGTGTATCAACAGCACATGCAGAATTCAGGGATTCACTCTATTACTAATCCAGATCCACATGCCACTTAAATCCATGCTCATGTAGAAGACGCCACAATGAAAATTTATAAGCATTAATTTTCAAGTATCCAAGTGGGGCTAGCCTTGGCGCAACAGTAAAGTTTTGCTCAACTATTCAGTTAGTCATGACTTTGAATATGGAAATAGCAGGATAAGATTGCATATAATGACCCTTTCTCGTGCCTTAACATAGGAAAGAAACTTCTGAAAACATTTCCAAAATTGGAATCTCCTTGATCCAAAACTTGATAATTGAACCAAATCCTTTCTGTTTTGGGTGCCAAGTTCTACCTGGCCTAGAACTAGATATTGATCGCTTCAGTACGAAGATCTATTCAGGGGGCTAACATCTACCCTCCCAGTATATACACATTTTTACTCTTGACACAGGTATCTTAATGCTCATAATCACAATTACAAACAAAACAAAACTAAACTAAAAGAAACAACAAAAAATGCAAAATTGACTATAGTGATTACCAGAAAGCAGTGACAGAAGGGAAATCACTAGTGGAGGCCATGATCGAGAGAGCAGCAGCAGCGAAAACAAACTGAGAAAGACGCAGAGATAGGCCACCGGCAGTGCCTGGCATGCCTTGAACATCCTTCATCCTCACCCTCGGAGCGTTGACGTTTTGGTCAGCACCACCATCAGTCGTTGGAACTTCTTCAACTGGGTGAACCGAAGCATGGCTCACGTTCATGTCTTCTTCCAACACTTCAATTCATAATCATCAGTCAAACTTTCTTCATCGTCAAATCTGATCACACCCATCAAACCTCATCAATAACCCAATTCATTTCCTATGATCGAAGTTCTAATCCTACATGGAAATGTTACATCATTTTTTTTAAGACAAAGAAAAAAACCGACTTTCTCGAAATTAAAAAAAAAAAAAATGGAGGTGGGTACGAAATTTTAGTTTGGTGGATTAAATCCGCGATTGCCCTCTAATCTGTTTCCTTAAAAGACTCTGAACTTAAACTTAAAACCAGGAAACTGAACACAATCGATCCAGTTGCTTCCTTTCCTCTGCCAACAGAGATAAAAGTAAACATAAGAACAATAAAATTAAAACAGGAACAAAAAAAGAGGCGTACCCAGACAAAGAGGTGCTGTGATTTTGGGTGTGATCGTTGAAGAGGATTAAGGATCTATGAACTACGATGGAAGGAAGGCAAAGGAAAGAGAAAGAGACAAGAGTGGCTGCAGAGCGCAGCCGTTGTATTGAAATGAATCTTAGTTTACGCGTCAGCTGTGGAGTTGTCGTTGTTTTTGTTTGGTGCACCAGCTGAGGAAGAAATTTTTATAATTAGAAAAAAAATAGAAAGTTCAATCCACTTTGAAGAGGTTCCATGTTTTTGACATAATAATAGTATAATTAATAAAGTGCTAAAATGCATTTTATCTCTCTATAATTTAAAAACAAAATTCTGATACAATATTTTTGTTTTGGTCTATGTTTGTTAGTTTCTCTTAAACGTTAACATGGTTTGTCTCAACGTGTTAAGCATAATAATTATATGTTAACAAATAAAATATTACAGTGATAATTTTGAAAACAAAACTTACTAAAAATAACATAAAAGTTCGGATATTGTAAATTATTAAACTAAGTTTTTTAATTTTGTAAAATTAATATTTTTTATTTTAGTTTCATAAAAGAGTTACTATCTATGTAAAGCAAAATAAAATAATTCTTATTTTGATTAGTAGTGTTAAGTTGTGTTTGTTAATTACTTTAAAATGATATGTCTAAAAGCATATATATAACGAAGGGTGTTTAAATATTGCTAAAAAGTATTCTTATCTAATAATAATTTGTATTGGAGTTAATCTACTGTGAGAGAGAATATTTCTTAAACTTTAGTTATAAAACACATTGCTTAAAAAAATATAAATAAATAAAATTATCTCATAGAAAATATTTTATCTTACTATTTTCAACATAAATCATCTCTCAATTTTTAGTTTGTAGATTTTATTTTTATTTTTTTAAATGATTCAAAAATCAAATAATTATTTATTTTATTATTATTACCACTTTATGTTTGAAATTTTGAAAATAAATAACTTTTGTTTAAATATTTGTCATATTCAAAAATTAAAAATTATTAAAAAAATAATTTTTATTAAAATATTGAAAATAAGTATATCTAAAAATTAATATTTATTTATAAATATAATTTTTTTTATTATAACTAGAAAAAATCACTTGTTAAAGTATTTTTATGTTCACATTTTTTATATAATTAATTTTTTTTTGTCATTTTTTTCTCTTTTTTTATATAATTTTTTAAAAATATTATTTTATTTTTTCTTTCCATTTTTTTTAAATATATTCATTTTTTTAGGTTTTTCTCTTTTGCAATTTTTTTACTATTTTTAAATATATATAAATTATAATAATTGATTTTCTTTAAACTATAACATAAATCTTTTATTTTTCTGACATCAAAAGAGTGATTATAAAAAAAAACTAAAAAAATCTAATCTCCTTTTTATTTATACTTTTAGATTAAGTCTTTCATGGATCTAAAATTAAAAATAATATTTTAATAACTGTATTAATTAATATATAAATATAAAAGATCAAGGTGTGAAAAGTTATTATTACCTAAAAAAACAATTATAAACACTTTTAATTTTTTGTTGTTGATAATAATAGCATCACAAATATAACTCTATTTACACTATACCGAAGCTTGTTAAATATTATGTTTTCATTTATAAAGATAAACGTGTTTTTTTGTCTAATTTTTTTATTTTTAATAGATAACATTTTTTATGAAATTTTTAATATATTTTTATGTTAAAATATTATATTAAATTAATATCTAATTATAAAAAAATATTTTTAAATGGTCATATCATACAAATTATTAATAAATTTTGTGAAAATTTACTATCACTTTTTTAAAATGATGTGACTTAACATATTTTATTTATTGTGAAAATGTGTTTATTATAGATATTTTCTATATTGTATGTTTAATGGTTGTCTTAGGTAAAACATAAAAATTTAAGAAAAATGTTTTGTAGAAACTAAACACAAAACTAATTTACTTTGTAAAAACTCAAAATAATGATTTCAATTTTTAAAAATATTAAAACTTTTAAAAAATAAAAAAAAATCATAATTCGTCATTTTGTATTAACCAAAAACATATTTTAACATGAACATTAATAACTTCTTATCATATATTAATTTTTTTAGATATTTCTATAAAGATTTATAGTTATTATTATTATTTTAATTTTAATTTTAAATTTTTTTTCTATGTTTCTTTTAAATTAATTGTTCTTTTAAATTAATTATTTGATATGATTATTTCAAATTTAGATTTTATAACTTTTAATTATCTATATTTCAATAAGAATTTATAGATTTTGACACTATAAGTTTAATGATAAAAATTATCACACTTTTATTAAAGTTGAAATCAAGAACCAACTCAGAATTATGATTGAAGAATTGGTAAAATAAAAACTATAATTTTAAAAATATGAAAAAAATATAATATCAGGATGACATCATGACTCACTCGTTCTTTAAAGTGAAGTATACATCAAGAGTATGAAATAATTTCGAGAATAAATAATATTAAAATAATGTGTTCAAAATATCAAAGTTTAAAAAGAAGTTGTTTATTTTGTATGTAGTTGTGAGATATAATATTTATGCAATTTAATTAAAATATGGAGATGAAGATTATGCCATAAGATTGTTGAAAGATCGTTATGATCAATACTTTATAATCAATTTTATAATCATATTAATGAATTTTTGTCTTTTTAAAAATGTATTTGGTTAACCAAAAGAAAGACAATTTGAAATAAATAACTATTTATGTGTCCAAAATTCATGCATCTTTTATGAAAAGGATGATAGTGTTCTTGTGAAAGAGGACCTAACTCAACAACTATATATGTAGAGGTTGAGAAAATAAATTTAATAAACCTTATTATGGTAGAACTAATCACACTCTAAATGTGTGCAATAAAAAGAATACACCTCTCTCACACATTTGAGTTTGACTTTTACATCTAACGGTATCAAGTCTAACTTTAACTACTACAACAAAATGATAATAATAATCATGAATTAAACACTTTTACAAATACTTTAAATACACATTTAAAATATTGGTATGATTTGTAATTATTCTAATATATTTTCATAAAAATTGTTGTTTTTTAAATAGAGGCAACAAATTGTGTTTGAAATTTTATAATCATTATTTAATATCATAAGAAAAATATTTTTATTTCATAAAAATTATATGCCAACAATGTCAAAATTGATATTAATAAAACAATTTTCATATTAAAGTTTTTAGTTTTAACATTGTTAACAATAGAGTTAACATGACAATTATTTGTTATATTTATATTAAGAGCATATCATTCATCCTTGCTTTCAACTATACTAATCTCTTTAGAATTTTGGAATCCTAAATAATGTAAGAATGAGATAAAAAAAGAGGAGAAGTTATATATATCTACTAGTAGAAAGGAATTTAGATTTAGAAATCAAGTTATACGAGAAATAAGGAAAAAAAGCACATCAAATAAAATTTGTTTTGACATAACAATTTCAATATGTACGACAGTGACATGATTTTCATTAGTTAAATTAATAGTTATAAAACTAAAATTATTCAAAGAAGTTGAAACATGATATCTAATTCCAAAATTTATTATTCACTTATTTTGATTAGAAAAACTAGTTATGTTCATAATAAAATGAATGTTTCATTTATATTTACCTTGACAAAAGTGTTAAAGTCGATTTGATTCATCTAAATCAAACTATTATTATTATCAATATTGGGGTGTTGAATCAATGTCATCAATGTCATATACTCTTATTACAAAAGGCACATGTCTAAATTTTGATTGGGGTTGTGTATTGATATCATTGTTCTGATAACTGGTGACATCCATGGTGTTGACAAAGTTACTATTTCCATCAAAGAATTTGTGTTTAAGAAGAACTAACGTTTTTTATAACATACATTAATAATGTGATCGCTTTTGTCACAATGGGTGTAAAATTTTTTGATCTTGAAATTCTTATTATGTTATGTAGAAGGGGAGTCATGCTTTTTGTAACACATAACTTCAGTGTAACTTACTGCAATACCTACAAAAATGGGTATTATTTATAGTTGTATTAATAGTTGATTATGAATGAAACCATTATTAAAAGGTTGACATTCTTGTTTAGGAGAAGATCTTGAAAATTGGTGGAATTGGGTCCATAAGTAGAATGTGAGTTTGATGTTAGTATATTGGTTATTTAAATTGCACAAAAACTACATTGCGTGTTCCGCTTGTTTCTGCTGATCGATGATGGTGACAACTTTACAAATGTATTTGGTAGAACAGTTACATATGAGGTCATATCTAAAGTTCTCTAACTCATCTCAAATCACTTGTAATTTGGTAAAATTTCCACTAATTGAAATGTCACCATTGTTTAAGAGAAGCAACATCTATTTTAAGTTCAAAATATTCTAAGTAAATCATCATAGAAATAACAAGACTTGATGTCACATCAAATTTTCTCCACTTTGTCCATCCACGATATAACATCTCCAAACTTGATAAGTGAGTTCGATCTTCACTGGTTTAGATATGTTGCTACTAACATGTTCTACTTTATTTTTTACCATTGATATGCTCCAATAATGATAATTA